TAAAGCAACAATCATTCATGCAGTTAATGACCTGAGTACTTCAAGTCCTGTGCAAAAACGCATGATTGCACGGACCCGCCTGGTGCGTTTCAGCCTGGGTTCTTCCTCTGTCAACCTCAGCTGCCACTTCACATCCATAAGCGCTTTATTTTTGCACTTATTTTGCGTTTTTTGCAGCTATGCAGTGCGGAAAAAGCATATTGACGAGAGGTTGTCTGTGTCTGTGTGTGCGCTGGGCGTCTGTACCGATTTTTCATCTCGAGACCTACTAAAGCTACAGGGCTGAAAGTTTGTGAACTTAATCTACACGCACGTACGGCCCCCATCCCCAAAATGGACGCCGTTACCTGCGTGGCACCCGCATACGAGCCCACCGAAGTTTTTTTCGGGTAAGTTCATAACTCGGGGATTTGAGAAGCTAGGAAGCTGAAATCTTAAGAGAATGTTCCTCGTCCAAGTAGGTATTAATGAGCTCAAACCCATTCCCCGCGTAAGCGTAGTACCGGAGAACACCCACGCAAGCTCTATACCTTGTCTGGTTCCTGAGATTGCTTTCTAGTCAAAAAATTTGCATATTTTTTTTAAGACGCCCGTATGTGAGACCCAGGCGTACCTGGTGATGATATTAAAACGGAAAGTTGCGCACGGTGTGGGCACATACTCCCGGAGTTCCAGCTTTTCTGGTTATCGAGTTGAAAGTGAGTGACAAAAAGTACAAACACACACACACACATACAGCCTCTTACCAATATGCATTTTTGCATTTGAATATATGCAAAAACGCATAAAAACCAAGCATCTTACCTCAACCTTAAGAGTAAGTAAACAAATTTTGGCTTTGTCGATGACGGCTTGTATTGATGCCAGAGAAGTGCCATAGAGATGCTTTTGAAATTCACCGTATTCGATGAATTTACCCACTTTTGCATCCTCTTGGAACTTTTGCTTCGTTACGAAATGGTAATGTACACCATCCAGTTCACTTGATTTCTTCGGGCGTGTGGTATCTACAAATTGATGAATTAAAACTTTCAGATTCCTGGACAAAACTGACCCACACAAAAGCTTTACACACTTCAGAATCATTTATACTGGCTAGCAATAACTTATACGCATTCCTCACCAATATCGCTCAGATTATCACATGTAGAAAGTTTGATTCCACTGAAGTGCATTTCAAATATCAAGTCCAAAGGTTGCCACTAGTTATTTGCTGCCTCTGTTTGTACTGCTTTTGTTACGTTATGTGTTAAGTCTGCGGAAGCTGTTCCGGTTACCACTTTTTTCCCTCAAATATCACTCAGTACAAGGAACGTTTATAACTTGTCAACTAGCTGATCAGATGTCTTTTCTACGGAAATTCAGTCTCCTTTGCGGTCGTGATGACAGGCCATTCGTTTGTGAGCGCTTCACTCTTGCTTTGGTCACACAAAGCTATCCGAAACACTTGATGCCCGGAAACTCCTCGCATACCTGTCAGATAAAAATTGCTTAATCACTTACGTGGCACAGCACTAGCAAATTTCTGATTGTCAGATTCTGCGAGACGCTGACGCAACTCCAGACAACCAACCCCTTCCGGACCGCAAAGGACCAGCGGCCGCTTCCGTTTTGTTTTCGAAAGATACAACGAAACCTCTTCATAGGTCAAGATTTCTGAAAA